ACCTCGCAGCCAGATTTCAATTGCCTCACCTGCTCGCACTGATCAAGATCGATGGTGCCTTTCAGCTTCTTGCAGCTCGGGTCGACGTAGTACTCCAGCACGTACTGCCCTGGTATCTGTCCGGAGAGCTTCAGCACAAACCAACGACGGCGCCATTTCTGAAATTATAGAGAAAAAATTAACATTTTTCTCCTATGATAGATTGATTGATCGATCAATTGATCCCTTACCCCAACATGCTTCCAGATGCGCTTTTCTGGCGGCGACTTCATCAGCCAGCCAGCGTGGACAATGTGCTGGCTGTTGTGATTACTATTGTGATGATGATGATTATGATGGTGGTGATGATGAGAATTTTGCTGGTTCTGATTCTGGTTCTGTTGTTGAAGAAACATATTTCGGTTTTGCTGTTGCTGTTGCTGTTGTTGTTGTTGCTGCTGTTGTTGAAGGATGTTCTGGTTGTGCGCCTGAAACTGGTGCAGCTGGTGCAGTGCGGCCGATCTACTGTCATGACTGTTCAGCTGCTGCTGCTGCTGCTGGTGGCCATGGTTGTCCATGGTCGGAAGTGGTGGTGTTTTTTCTTCTTTTTTATGACAACTTAAGATAACAAAAAACGAGGGATCAATTTCCTCAACGGAGGCAATAAAGTCTGCAGGTTGTGTTGTGTTGTTTTGAGGCAAGGCAAGACATGTTGTGTTGGGTGAATCACTGCGGCACCAGGGCTGATAAACGACGGTGTTATCAGACAAAGAGGAGAGGAGGAGATGAGTACTCTGGTGGCTATCTCAGTGGCTGGTGAGTGCACAGTTCACCAGGAGATATCCATTGTAGAAGTGTACAAGTGTTGAAGGAAGACCTGAGAATAGGCACGTTTCTTGGCTGTTGCTTCTTCTGCTTTCTTTTTCTCTATTTCCTTTGCAATCGAGAAGAATTAAAAAGTAAAGGCGTCGGTAAAAAATTGAACTTCAGCAGCAGCAATTGTGTTGTTTTGTGGTAGAAGTCAAGAGCGACACTCCGATTGCTCTGATGGCTCTGGCGCTGCTGCTATTTTCTGGTGATTGTGTGCAGAAAAAACTGGCACTCCTCGTTCATTCCTGTTGCGCTGGTGGGGCAGCTGTGTCAGCAACAGCAGCAGTGTCGGCAACCCAAAAAGAAATCAGAGGCGTCGGCAACAGTGTAACGAGTTGGCTTGTGGTAGTGTTCTCCTTCTTTCTCTACCGATGATGATTGCCACCGCCGAGTAGTTGGTGGTGGTGCCAAGTTGAGCACACAAGTTGGCTGGTGCATTGGATTGGGTTCTCGAGAATTGCTCCTCTTCCAGGCAGGCAGGCAGACAGGCACTGCTCTGTTGATGTGTGTTAGCCGCTGATGACTGTCTCTGTGCAGCTTGGCACTGCTGTTACTACCGCCACCACCACTACGATCATCGTCAGCGACAACAGCAGCAGCATCAGCACCAGCACCAGCAGCAACACCGACTTCTGCTGCGACCACTAATCATCGACGACAATCAGAGAAGTAGTCGGAGAGCAGAGAGGCAGCGGAGGGAAAAGCAGAGCAATGGCAGAAACAGAAGAAGAAGAAGTTGTGGTGGTAGTGTGAGGAGGACAACTTGGAGACAACTTTCTAGTGAGAGCAGTGGCAGCCGATGATGATGGTGATGCGACAGTCGGACGGTGTGCACACTGAGACAAACTTGGACATTGGTTTGAACAGCAGCAGCAGCGACAGGTACTAACAAAAAAGAGAGAAGTGTAACAGCGAGGAGAAGAAGATGAAGATGAAGAAGGACGGACTTTTCAGCACACTGGGACAGTGTTGCTGCTGTTGGCCAGGGGACAGTAACAACTGAACACTGACAAACAACACTGAACTAAACAGAAAGCAGCNACGGACTTTTCAGCACACTGGGACAGTGTTGCTGCTGTTGGCCAGGGGACAGTAACAACTGAACACTGACAAACAACACTGAACTAAACAGAAAGCAGCGGTCAAAGCACTGGAGCATCAACGATTGCCAATGATGCCCAGCAATGTCTGAAGCTGCTGATGAAGATGATGTGCACTGCTTCGCTTCGGACAGCAGAGGTGCACAGGTCTCTCTCTTTTCTTCTCTCTCCTTCAGTGGTCACTGCGNCGGTCAAAGCACTGGAGCATCAACGATTGCCAATGATGCCCAGCAATGTCTGAAGCTGCTGATGAAGATGATGTGCACTGCTTCGCTTCGGACAGCAGAGGTGCACAGGTCTCTCTTTTCTTCTCTCTCCTTCAGTGGTCACTGCAGCAGAGTGCCCTGTTGCCGCTACTTCTGCCATTACCACCGCCACCGTCGTCGAGCAGTGCCCACCACCGAGGAGATCGATGGGATGCAATCAGTGAGTGAGCGAGCGAGAGAAAAGCAGAAGAAGCAGTAGCAGAGTGGAAGAAGGGAGAGAAGAGCACAGTGTGCTACTAAGAAACAACACACACACACATTTGTGCGCTAGTACTCTCTCTCTCTCTCACTCAGCAATCATCGGAGACTATGGACACACACTCACACTCTCAGGCACAGGCACTGCGGACCAACAGCGACCACCACCATTTGGTAGTCCTCTTTGCCTTCCTTCTTTCCTTTCGAAGACAGGCCAAGCCAGGACATCGAGGGCAGCAGTGCCCCGCCGAGTGACCACTGAACGGATCGACCATCGATGAGGTAAATGGCAAAAATACCGATAGAAGATGGTGGTGGTGGTGGCTTCAGCCAGTGAAGTGAGCACTTCTTCCCAGTGCCCCCAGTGCCACCACCACCAGCACTGCAGCCGATCAAGACAGGTCGGGGCGAGGCCTCAATCGAAGAACGAAAGCACACACACACAGACAGACTGAAACTGGGGAAGAAGAAGGGCAAGAGACTGTCTTCAGCGAGCCGGGGCGAGCTGAAGCGACTTTCGGTGCTGCAAACACTGACAAGTGCAACGAGTGCCGCCGCTGCCGTTGCTCCTCCAGCAGCAGCTAAAGAATGCCACTAGACGAGATGGGCGCGTAGTTTGAATTTCTTCTTTGCCGCTGCCGCCGCCGCCGTTCTTTCTCCTTTCATCACGGTCGGGTGCCGGGTGCCACCAATACCACCACCACCACCAGTGATGCACATAGTCATTATTCGTCGACGCCTGAAAGTAGTAGTAGCAGTTGTAGTGATAGTGCACATCAAGTTGATGCGGAGAATCCCGCTGTTGAGCGCAATCGAACAGTTGGCCTGTTGTTGGCAGCGGATAAGAGTGCGTAGAAAAGATGAGCGAAATTGCCATTAGTATGACGCCTAATGATGATGATGATCAGAGATGAGTAGCGGTAGTAGTAGTGGTGGTAGTGGATGAGATCATCCAGTGGTCAGTGCTCGATGCTTTTCAAGAGCACTCGTTCACTCGTGACTACCATGAGCACACAAAGTCAGCTATGCAAAGAATCTTTCTCTCATATCATTTCTCGTGTTTTCCCTTTCCCCTTTTCCCCACTCAAAATATTTGAGCCCTGAAATCTCTCTCTCTCTCTCTCTCTCTCTCTCTCTCTCTCTCTCTGTTTGACTCTCACTGTTATNTCTCTCTCTCTCTCTCTCTCTCTCTCTCTCTCTCTCTCTCTCTCTCTCTCTTGCTCGCTCAAGTGCTCGGGCGCGACCGGGCAAAAGTCCATCATCCATCAGCCATCTATTTAGTCTCACCGCAGGCGTACACCTCTTTCGCGCTCTTTAGTGGCCTCTCTTTCTTTTTCTGTAGGCAATTCCTCCTCCTCCTTTCTTTCCTATTTTCGGTTCACAGTTTGTTTGCACTGATGATCATTACAGGTAGTAGAAGTAGTAGGGTTTGCCCGAGAGCACAGTTCTCTCTCAAGCTGATGATGGGCACTTCACGAGAAATGCCAATTGAACTTTGAGCTTCTCGTCGTCTTCTTCTTCTTCTCATTCCTTTTCACCACTCAACCGATTAGGCAATCCAATCCAATCCAGTCGTCGTAGCCGTGCCTCGTCAACTGCTGTGCAATTGCTCAAGAGCTGCTGCAGTGCCGAAAGCAATATCCGCGGCTGTTGTTGTTGTTTAACCTTTTTTCATATCGTGAACACAAACTATGTGTCTCTCGTAGTAGTCTCATATTATTAATATGTAGTCAGACTGACTGCAAACTCCAAGCCGGCAACACATGCTCATTTATTTAGTCACTCAGAGACGCCCTTGTGTCCGGCGAAACGATGGCGAAAATTAGCTTGCTCAGTTTTGCTCTCATGAAATCGCATATGCCACTAAAAACAGATGTTGAGTAAATTTGTTTTCTCAATTTTCATTTTTCACAGATAAACTTTTAAAAGTAAAATTTAAACAATTTATTTTTTAGTTGAAAAAAGCAAAAAACGATACAAAAATGCTTCAATTTAGTGAAAAAAACCTCCAGCAATGAGCTAAAAATAATGCTAATTTTATTTCAAGGCAGCTTCTTTTTCCACACAGACACACACACACACGTCATTACCGATTATCTCGTAACTGGCTTTCTCCCTTTTTGCTCTACCACCAGCAAAGAGGCAGTTGACAGTTGGCAGACCGTTTCCGCTTCCGCCGCAACTGCACAACAACCTGCCTTCCCCCTCCTGTTACGTCGTTATGCTTATTTTGCAGTGCTGTTGTGACGTCTGTGTCGCTTTGCTTTGCTTTTCTTTGAGAGACTTCCTTCTCTGCCCTTGGCGCCTGAATGTGATCACAGCACTGTACACCAGTGAGTGCTCGAGACAGTGGACAGTGACTCTGATCTGCCACTTCCACTTGGTCAGCTTCCTCGCTGCCTGCAAATCCTTGGCTGACGCACTGACTCGTACACTGACTGTTCAACTGTCTTTCTGACTATCTATGGAAATGTCCGCTGCCCAGTGCTGAAATCGGAAACCAAGCTGCTCTGCTCGTCCCAGTCCATAAATCAAGTCTGCTCTGTGCTCTGTGCTCCGCAGTCTCTCGCAATACTAATAATAATGGTCGATATGTGTAATGAGGCAATCAGTGGAAGTGAGTTATACGCTGCTGCCGATGCTAAACTAGTCTCCACTGTACAGCTACCACTATGGTGGCGATAACTATCAGTCCAATAGATTGTCCAGTCAAAGTGACTCAATCGAATAAAGCCTAAATTGAGCCTTCCCGAGTCACATTTAGCATTGCAGCTGGTGCAGCTGCATCAATTTCTCTTTTTCTCTCTGTTTACGCGTACATTTGATCAGTCTGCACTGAATATCAGTTTGACATTTTTAGTGAGCACTACTGCTGCTGCTGTTATTGTAAGCGCATTTTATTTGTAAAAAGAACCCACAACGCTAAAAATAGAGGAAACTAGAATATCCCAGACAAGTACAGTGCAATAGCATCGTCAGTGATGACAATGATGGTGGTAGTGTTACCTCTCGTTTTGTTTTGTAATAATTTGTCAAAACAGCAGCAGCATTGTACGACAACTGCAACAATTCAGACAACGACAAGAGCAGCAGCAGCAGCAGCAGCAGTCAGTGAAGCGTGCCAGGTGTAGTTAATGTAGATTTGCTAAACACACAAACATGCAAGCAAGCAGGCAAGAAAGCG